TGGAATTAAGAGAAAAACAAGCTGAAAAGGAAGAAAAACAGAAAACAAAGAAAATAGAAACAAGTGCAGAAAAGTTGCGTAAGCTCTTAAAAGAGGAAAAAAGGTAAACTATAATAATCAGTATTTTTTAACCTAAAGCAACTACTGAATTGAACCCCAAAGTGCCACATGGAGGTGTAACGTAAGTATTAAAGAAAAAAAGTAGCTTTAGAATTAAAATATATAATGAGTAATGTTGTATTTTTTCAGGGAGAAATGTTTTAGTATTGATCAGTGAGGGTTACCAACTGTGGGCGGTCTTCCCCGTTTGACTGGAGACATTTTTAGTGTTAAAATTGGTGGATTGCAAGTGGCATCTAATGGGTAAAGGCCAGGGATGCTACAGTACACAGGACAGTACCCCACCCCCAAGAATTTTGTTGGGCACAAAATGCCATTAGTGACTAGAAATAGTCTGATAAAAAAACTTCAGATCTCTCGGTTATGTGTTTAGGTAGTCTTAAGATTTTTATGACAGAGATGGAAATGATGATTTTCTTACAGTGCCACAAGTATTTTTGCTTAAAAGTCATGACATGATATAATTAGGTCTTGTATTAATAGGTTGTTATAATATCATTTGTCCACATCACAGTTGTAAGAAACCTTTAAAGGGACCAAAGTGTTACCAAAATCTATATGGGTACTTTAGAAATGTTTTTGTACTACCTTACCTGATGCATTTACTACATTTTTTAGGTTAAAGAAAAAAAAAAGAAAATCAACTTCTTCCTCTTCAAGCATTTCTTCTGATGATGAATCAGTTTCTTCGTCATCTTCTTCCTCTTCCAGTCACAAAAGGCATAAAAAACATAAGAGGAGCCGTTCAGCGTCTTCTCGCAGTTCCAAAAGACATCCATCTAAGGCATCCTCAAGTCAGATAGATGAGGATAGGAAAGATGAGTACTACCCACTTCCCATCAATACTGCAGCATCGTTTCTTAACCCAAAACAGGAAGTGGAGAAACTACTGGAAAAGCAAGATAGGTTACCTTTTCAAAAGACACAGGTAAAAGAGAAAGATAGATACTCACTGTCAGTTGAAATTCCGGATGATATTGGAGGTAGGTCTGAAGATCTAAGAGATGTCTCTAATAGCTATAAATCTCAGGCAAGCACTAGCAAAACAGAAAAGCCATATAAATCAGAAAGACATTTTTCCAGTAGAAGAGATTCTTCAGAATCCTTCTGTAGGAACTCAGAGGACAAATTTAAAAATCATAGGAGATTTGACAGGGATGTAGAAGGAAGAAAAGAGCACAATAAAAGGTGGGAGCCAGGTTCAGGGAGATATTCCACTTCACCAGCAAGTTCCGATTATTCTTGGAAGTCACTTGAAAAATATAAAAAGTGTACTTACTCTGGATTGCGTGATTTTAGTAAGCATGAGCAACGATATCAATCAAATACAAACCAAGGAGAGTATGAAAGAGTAGAAAATTATGGGGAAGATCTTAAAACTAAGGTTCCAGAAGAAGATGAACTAAATAGCAAAGAACAGTCAGAAAGGAGAGTTAAAAGGAATTTACCTCAAAATTTACTCAATATATTTAATCAGATAGCTGAATTTGAGAAAGAAAAAGGAAATAAGCCAAAAACTTAATATGCCAAGGAAATCGGCAGCAAGACTTGTTGAAGTTTTTTTGTGTTTAGTTATAGTATTTTAGTGCAGAAGTCTGCTCTTAAAATTATTTTGTTTGTGGAGATTGCAAAGAGCAAAAAATTTTTTGTGTGTGCTTTCTCTCAAATTTGTTTCAATTATAGGTCTACTTTTCACAGCTTGATTTTTAGACTTTCCATGTGATGTTTATGTACAGTATTTCCTACTCTGATAATTTGTTCACCTAATTCTCTGAAACTGTTTCCATTGTATGATGGCATATAAGAATTCCTGTATCCTCCTTACTCTTTATGTTGTATGAGAGAAAATTAAATTTGTATATTGAAAACTTGGATTGTTTTCATAAAAAATACTTTCTTTTTGTTTAAAGCCCTAGTTTGGAAAATGTTGTATTTTTGAATGTTTCTTAATTACCATTTTATACCCATCATTTTATTAATTTTGTCTTATTTTTAAATGATTATGTCAAATTTAATTGATATCTTAGGCCTGCTTTAATTAAAATTGTGTCTGTGCCATTGGCTTCTACCCAACTTAAAAGCTTTTACTATGACAGGAATATGGCCAATAACTATGTTTACCTTATTGCTAACATTGTGACCCTTAGAAAAATTTTTACTGTAAATATTAACAACACCCCTAGAGACTTCATTCCAGACAAAGGTAAATCAGAATAGAGGAGCACATAGTAAATGTGGTTTTCCCCTAAGCACAGAAAATTGGGAAACTGTCATAGTATTGCAAAAGTAATAATTTAGGAAAGTACTGGGCTTGCTTTCAAATAGCCTACGCTGGTCTAATTCCTACTTTCTTTCTGCCTTCTTTCCTCTGTTGTCTCATTTCTCAAGGTCTGTGAATAAAATGTTAGACCAAGCAGGCCTGATGTTTTTTTACCCAATAAATTCTAACAGGGCTAAACAAAGGAAAAAACATGAATTGTAGAGATCTTCCTAAAATAACTGTAAGCACTATAATGTACTTTTTGGGAGCTAAGATACAGTAGGCAGTTATGCTTATGATGGTCTTTATGATATTCCAAATTTAAGACTTAAAGTTGTAAATGAAAACGGCCTTTTTAGTGCTGTCATTCCTGACATTTGATGCATAGAATGGGTATCCATCTACATAGGTCAAAGTGAAAGAATGTCAGTAGAGGAAGAGACTTTTAATTTCTTTTCTCAAGGTTCTTGCCAACAGTGTAATATCAGCTCTTTAAGTGTACACAGTTTTGTCCTTCAGTTTCTAGCAGTGGGAGTCTAGTGAGAAAGCTGCAATGGAACAGGGAAAGAAACGCTGGTCACAGGCAGTAGATAATGGTAGAAATAGGCCAGACACTCAGATATTAGTCTTTTTACCAAGAAATTCATAATAAGAGTCCCCAGTTTTCTGTAGCATCATTATATAATGTTTTGAAAGAGGGAAAACTACCTCTTGCCATATTCCTTGACCTTTTTGGATCAGTGGTACAGCTTTAGAATTTATTAAAGATACCGTTTTATCTGACAAATCTTTGAGCATCACTCTAACTGTAATTTTCGAAAGCTGCTTTGTAACTTCACATTACACTTGGGTACCAGAAAACCTAAGATAGTACCTTAGCCAGCAGTGTGCCTGAATTTAGAAATTCTGTCTTCCCCAGAGCCACTTTGCTAAAATATGTTTAACTTTAGTAAAGTACATAAACCAATTTCTAAGAAAGTGTTCAAGAAGCCTGTCACAGCAAAAAAAAAATATGGCAAATTTACATTGTCAATCCCTAGTGATACCTTTAGCATTTATTTTTCTTATATGTGTATAATTTATATACATCCTGGCCGTGTCTTGGTTTTTCTAGATGAAGCATGACTTTCTAACATAACAAGTAACTCCCTAGATTTGGAGATTTAGGGGTTGATCCCATGTCACCCTTTAGCATTATTACATTGAAGTTGAATCTGTTATTTTGTAGACTTAAATGCTGGCCTGAGACTTTAACCAATTCAAGAATCTTGTGCCAGGTCTTAGGTGGTAATTCAAAAATACTTAAAATTATGCAATTACAATGTATCAATCTCTGCTTTACTGAGATTACTTAGGGAACTTTCTGTTTCTGTATTGCAAATAAGGAAAAATACTAAGCAACTTACCCAAGGTCACAGAGCTAACAAGACACAACTGCTGTCTTTGTAAAACAGTGTTTAATATTTCATGTTCCAAGAATTTACAAATTGACAATATGGTGCTCAAAGTAAGAATTTTGGTGAACACACCAAATGATTAAGGTTAGATCTTATAAAACCTGCATTAAAATAATATTTCAGCCAAAAATTATATTGTCCAGCCTTTTAACCCATCTTATTCATTAGACTTGGCCATGCCTAATGTTATTTGCCTGCCCCAAAAAAGCCAAGTAGCAATCAGGAGAAATAAGTTTACTGCTAATACTACCATCTTTAGAAATGCAATTGACAGGTCTAAACAAGGTACAGTTGCCACAATGAATATATTTTCCCCAAGGAGACAACATTGACTTAAGTACATGGGTTCTAATACACATTTGTGTCAAAACCAGTTATATGACATTGTAATCATAATTCATATATCCCAAGAATTCCAAGTATTAGCTACATGCTATAATAAAGGAGTAACTGGAAAAAATGAATTCTAAATCTTGCATTCTACACTAAATTTACGGAATTCCCACTGCAAATCAATCACAGCTTGTTTAAAGTTGTTTATTAAATCAAGGAAATTCCCAAACTATATAAGAATTTGTTAAGCTGCATTTTTTTAGAAATATATATACTAATTCTCTTTCGATTTTTTTTTTTTTTTCTAATTGTTGTTGAGGGGAAGAGGTTAAATGTAATTTAGCTGGTTAAAAATTTCACCAAAAGAAGAAACTGACTTTTACAGGTTTTTTTCATCCTCAAAAGTCTGATGGTAATGTGTAAATGGGAAAAGAAAACAAAAATCTGGGAAATATGTTTCATTTAATTAAGGGAAAGCTAATTTCAGATACTCTAAGGTCAATGAGAATTCTAGTAGTGTTATAAACTAACAGTAAAATGTTCTTCCTGGAAGGTTCCCTCATCGTACAATATAGTTTCATAGATACCATGAAATAACGGCGCAAACTATTTACTAACATAATATCAAGATAACAAAATATTTTCTTTATGCTTGTACAACATGTAACCTTTGTTAAGAATCTGCTGTTTTCTAGATCAAGAAAAAGCTAAGGAAAGTAAACTGGTATCTAATAACCTGAGGACTCAAGAATAGAGTGGAATTTTACTATTTTATAATACGAGGTTTTTGTTTTTACAACTTGCACACACAGACAAAAAGATTAAAATGTTTATTTGTTGCTCTTTTTGCTTTTACCATTACTGGAGCTACTACTAGCAGTTCCTGGCCTAGATGTATAGTGTGCTCCTGAAGGGGTGGGTGGTAAGTTCAGCTCTAATACTTTAATTGGAGCCTGAAAAGAAGTACTTGCAATACTCCTAGGTGACCTAAAAGAAAAAACAAATACTGTAAATTAAAAATTTATGTTTTAGTATCTGTTGTTAAAGTGCCCGCAAGTCAGTTCCGACTCAGTGACCCTTTATAGGGTTTCCAAGAAGCAGCTGGTGGGTTTGAACCACCGGCCTTGCAGTTAGTAGTCCAGTGCTTATCCTACAGCACCACACCAGCACTGCCATTGTTGGTGTAAGATTCCTAATCCCATAATAAAATTAGCAGATCAACATGCATTTTTAAAGTTTAGAAAATTTAGACACAACCATTGATAGTTAAATAAATCTGAAAGGAAAAGAGTTTCAAACCAGAGAAGTTAGTGTAATAATTGAATGTCCATATAAGGAGCTCTGGTAGCATAGTGGTTACAAATCGGGCTGCGAACCTTAAGGCCAACAGTTCGAAACTACCAGCTGTTCCGCGGGAGAAAGATGAGGCGTGATGCTCCCGTAAAGATTTACAGCCTTGGAAACCCTGTACGGGGTCACTATGGGTCGGAACCAACTCGACGGCACTTAACAACAGCAAAAACATAAGAAAAGGAGTCCCTGGATGCTGTGAACTGTTAACATGATCAGCTGATAACTGAAAGACTTGGAGGTCCACATCCACCCAGAGGCTTGTCAGAAGAAAGGGTTCACAATTTGCCAGAAAGTGAGCCACAGTGCTACTCTGACATGCAGAGTCACCATGAGTCAATGTTAACTTGACAGCACCTGGTAAATATTCAGGAAATTTTTTTTAAATTAAAACCAATGCTTAGAGGCTAGAGATGCACAGTGAGAGCAGTTGAGCAAATCATCAGGTTTGTGGTTTCAGAGGTGAAATTTTTGCATGGTGGTTAGACCAAGGGTTTATAGCTTTTGAGAGGGTGCCTGGAGGAGTGGAGTCTGGTCATTGGTGAAGACTTAGAAGAATTGGAAGACCATGGTTTTTAAACTTCAAATGGAAGCTATTGTAGTCTGAAAATGGATTGCCACTTTGTAAAGTGGACTAGTAACCACAAGGTCAGCATTTCAAACCCACCAGCTGCTCCTTGAAAACCCTGTACAGGGTCTTTGTAAGTCAGAACTGACTCAACAGCACTTAACAAAGTAAGGCAAATTGAGCCTGTTGTGAGATGGCTTTAACTGTTAACCATACGCTTTTGTTAAGAGCTGTTGAGTCGATTCCGACCCATAGCAAACCTGGTATAGGGTTTCCAGGGAACAGCTGATGAGCTTGAACCACTGACCTTGCAGTTCAAACGGCTTTGTAGTCTGACACATTAGCCCACAGCGCTACACCAGGACTCCAACTCCACCATATAAATTGCCTTATTTATGATGTTGGAGAATATTGAAAGTGCCATGGGCTTCCAAAAGAACCAATAGATCCATTTTGGAAGAAGTGCAGCCAGAGTGCTCCTTAGAGGCCAAGATGACCAAACTTCATCTCTCATACTTTGGACATATTGTCAGGAGGGACAAGTTGCTGGAGAAAGATACCATGTTTGGTAAGGTGGAGGGTCAGAAAAAAAGAGGAAGACACCCCCCCCCCCCCAACAAGATGTATTGGCCAAGTGGCAGCATCAATGGACTCAAGTGTGACAAAAATAGGTTGAGGTTGGCCCAGGATTGGGCAGTGTTTCATTCTGCTGTGCATAATAAGGTCACTATGGGTCGGTACCAACTCAATGGCACCTATCAACAACAACAATTTTGAAAAGCTTAACTAATCATATAATTCAGAAATAGTAATTTTTTTTAATGTTTGAGAAAAAAAAACATGAATAAACATTTCTCCAAGAAGGTATAAAAATGACCAATAAGTACATGAAAAGACGTTCACAAACAGCTATCAGATTCAGCAACACTGAGGTACTACAAGAATGAGTCAAAAATTATCGGCACTCTGGCTGTAAAATTTAACTTTTAGGAAAGAATATTTTTCAGTTTAATTTCCTTGCTTCTCAATATACTGTCCATCTGTCAAAAGCTTTCATATTCCCTTATTTAAAAATGTGTTAGGCTAAGCTGCAAGCATGAATGCACCACTTTAAACTACATTTGTGGTGAATCTGCAAACTCAGGCTGCTTTCAGGGGACCAAATGTGAAAGTTAGATGGAGCAAGACCAGGACTACGAGGATGCTTTTAACAACTCAAAATGAAATTTTTGCTGGAAGTCAACAGTGTGGACAGAGGTGTACAGATGTGCACTGTCAAGCAAAATCATGTCCTTGAATAACAGTCCTCTGCATTTAATCCGAAGGTTAGGCTTCAGCTCTTCAGTGAGCATCTCACTGTCATGAAAACTGTTGATTGATGACCCTTCTTCCTAATTGTGTTCCAATATTGGCTCTTGAGAATCCTCGAAACTGTAAGCATCACTTTTCCAGCTGATGGTTGACTTGAACTTTTTTTTGTTCAGTGTTTGAGGATGTTTCCATTCCGTACTCTGCTGCTTACTCTCAGACTCGTAGTGGTGAATCCATGTCCCATAACCATTAACAATTTTAAATTAGAAAAAACCTTACACCTTCCTTCCAGCATCAAACCAAATTTTGTTTGCAGATGTCCAAATGCTTCTGTTTATGCTGTTCTGTGAGTTGTTTTGGGTACCCATCTCACAAACTTTTGAAACCCACATCTTTCATGGATAATTTCCTAGGCAGGGCCATCACTGATTTGCAAATGATTTGCCGCATAATCCCGTCACTCTTCTATTTTGACAGGATCATTTCACATGCATGTTCAATGTTATCAGCTGTGGATGCTGATGGGCATTTTAATGTAATCAGAGTGCAAATAATTTTTGCCTCGCCCTCGTACATTACACCCATAGGATAGTTATCAAAAAGAAACAAGAGTTGGTGATAGCTTGAAAAATTGGAACACTTGTACATTGCTAGTAAAAATGTAAAATGGTACAGTTGCTGTGGCAAACAGTGGTTTCTAAAAAAAGACATACATACCATGTGACCCAGCAACTCCACTTTTAGATAATGCAACTCACAAAGACACATGTACATCAGTGTTCAATAGTTTAAAGTGCCTATCAACATGAATGTGCCTATCAACACATGAATGTATAAACAAATCATAGTATACATATGTTCAGCTATAAAGAAAAATGAAGTTCTGATAACATGCTTCTATATAAATGAACCTTGAAAACAGTCTACATTAAATAAGGCACAAAAAGGTAAGTACTGTATGATCTCACTTAAGAGCAATTCTAGAATAGATGATCAAGATTCCTGGTGTGCTATAGGATACATATAACTGGAAACCACAAGGTCAGCTGTTCAGACCCACCAATTGCTTCATGGAAACTCTATACAGGGTGGCTATGAGCTGAAACTGACTCAATGGCACTTACTACCATCATCAAGACCAAAGGCGGTTACTAGGACATGAGGGAGGATGGTATGGTGAAATGATCATTGTACCCTTAAAATAGATTTTATGTGGATTATTCATTAAATACTTTAAAAATAATGTGAAGAAAATAGAGGTGGGCTGGCACAGTGGCAGTGTCAATGGACTCAAGCTAACGGCAACTGTGAAATTGGTGCAGGACAAGCAGTGTTTCGTTCTGTTGTGCATAAGGTCGCTGTGAGTCAGAACCGACTTGATGGCACCTAACAACAACATACATACATGTGAAAGTATGGGGATACTCAAATAGAAGTATTTTCTTACACTTAACCTAAAAGTTATATTTTAGGGCTTCCCTTTTGTGATATATCTACATGGACTAAGGAAATGATTAATAAGTAACTACTAAATATAGGTGACTGGGAAATAGAAAATTATGATTAAATCATTAATTTTCATTTTGTCAGCAAAGCACAAGGATTAAACATCCTGGGTAACAGTAAACTACATAGGAAAGAATAGCCACCTTTATAGCAAAATAAAGCATCATAAAATCCTGACTAAAATCTTAATGTGGTTTGAATCACTTGAAGCATCTGTCTATACATCAAAGTTGCTCGTTTATAGTTTAAAACATTCCCCAACTTGGGGTTCATCATGCTAAGTGAAACGCCCAAATTTTTCACTCTGCTTTATCTTGGAATCGTTGGTGGTAACAAAAGCTAGAAGGAAAGGGTCTTGTTCTGCTGCTGACTGTGCATTGGTAGCACTGACAGAGAGAGGTAGTTCAGTATGCGGGAAAGCACTAGCAGTGAACTGGCAGGTCCAACAGCTGCACTAATGTCAAAGTGGTTGGATTCACTTAGGGTAGTAGCTGTGATCATTAAGGACATGCTTTATAAGCCTCCACTTACCTTGCTGACGACAGTGAAGCCTGTGAAGACGATCTAGAGCTCAGACCTTTAGTGCTAGCTGTAGGAAGTTCTAAACCATTCTGGAAAAATATTCAATAGTGATTATTAGTACTGCATTTTAGAAGAATAATATTTTAAGTTAGATTTTATTATATGATGTATTTTTGCTTAACAGAAGGTACTATTAATACCTGCTGGAAGTATGTTTGAAGGATGAAACGGACATCAGAATTTTCTTCTGCAACATCAACTAACATTTTATCAATCATCTTGTGAAATTGTTTCACTTCACGAAGTTTGATGTCTTTTTCTTCTAGTATTTCATCTATAGTGTTTCTCATAAGACGGACTTCCTTGGTGAGTTTTGAACACTGTTGGTCAAAAATAGTCATCATATACATCTGTTTTCCAGAACCTAATATATTTTCTAATAAATAAAGGAAGATTTAGGTTAACCATTTGAAACTTCAAAAAACAAAAATATTCAAGGTCAGTTTTCAAAATATATCAATTACCTGTTTAGTTACTCTGATTAATTTTGGCTTCTGCTCCTCAATTTCTCTACTAAGTTGAAATGAATAAGCCTTCTTCTCTAATATTTTTTCTTTGATATTATTTGTTAAGTGTTCTATAACTTGTAAAGTGTTTTCCATGCTCTGCAGAAAAAAGTATTTAAAAACATATTTATTGATAAAAATTTAAAATGACACAGATAGCTTTCTGTCAATATTTAACAATTTTACATGGATTAAGTTTTGTATATAATTCCATTCTGGTGCCTGCCTCCCGGCTGTCAGCATACAGCCTTTCTCTTTCCATGAGTCTAGAGGCTTCAACTGCTCTCTCTCTCTCCATGTCTTCATCTCTGCCTCCATCTCTGTTGTTGATGCTTCTCTGGATAAGGTTCACATTCCGCTCATGCTCTTCACCTTTGATGGTCCTAGGGTCCTATGTTCCTGGAATGTAAGATTAACTACTCCCCCCTTTATGTTACAAAACTTCTACCTTTACAGTTGTGACAATCGCAATTAGTCATGATAACAACTACTCACTATTGAATCATAAGAATAGTATCCCCATCTCCTTTCACCAGACATGTCTAGACAAAATGAAAATCATTCTGTGGGGATTCTTATTTTTGTGGTATCTTCAACAAAATTTTACTTGCATTTGTTATTAATAATATCAAATGATTTTCCCATTCCATTGGGTCACCTCTCTTTGGACTGGAAACAAAGATGGATCTCTTCCCGTCAATTGGCCAGGATGTTGTCTTCCAAATTTCTTGGCATAGATGAGTGTCTCCAGTGCTGCATCCGTTTGTTGAAAGATTTCAATTTATATTTCATCAATTTCATCAATTCATCAATCAGTTACCAGGGCCTTGTTCTTTGTCAATGCCTTCAATGCACCTTGGATGTCTTCCTTGAGTATCATTGCCTCTTGATCAGATGTTACCACTTGAAATGATTGAACATCAACCATTTATTTTGATCACAGTGACCCTGTGTACTCCTTCCATCTTCTTCTGCATCATTCAATATTTTATCCTTTGATTCCTTCACTATTTCTAGTCAAGTCTTGAATTTTGTCTTCAGCTTGAGAAATGCTGAATGTATTCTTCCCTTTTGGTTTTCTAACTCCAAGCTTTCACACATTTCATTATAATATTTGACTTTGTCTTCTTGAGCTGCCCTTTGAAAGTTTCTATTAAGCTCTTTTATCTCCTCATTTCTTCCATTTGCTTTAGATTCTGTACGCTGGAGAGCAAGTTTCAAAGTCTCTTCTGACATCCATTTTGGTCTTTTCCTTCTTTCTTATCTTTTAAATGACCTGTATGATGCTCTTGATGTTATCTCACAACTCTGCTGGTCTTTGGACTTTGGTGTCTAATGCATCAAATCTATTCTACAGATGATCTCTAAATTCAGGTGGAATATGTTCAAGGTCATATTTTGGCTTTTGTCGACTTGTTTTAATTTTCCTCAGCTTCAGCCTGAACTTGCATGTGAACAATTGGTGATCTGTTCACAGTCCCTGGCCCTGTTTTGGCTGACGATCTGGAGCTTTTCCACTGTTTCTTTCAACAGATGTAGTCAATTTGATATAGTCAATGGAATATTGCTGTGTATTCCATCTGGTGAGGTCCATGTGTTCAGTTGGCTTCTATGTTGTTTAAAAAGAGTATTTGCAATGAAGAAGTAATTGGTCTTAAAAAATTCTATCATGCAATATTCAGCATCATTTCTATCAAAAAGGCCCTATTTTCCAACTACTGATCCTTCCTCTTTGTTTTCAACCTTGGCATTCTAATAGCCAGTAATTATCAATAGATCTTGACTGCATGTTTGATCAATCATCTTGATTGCATGTGTGATCAATTTCAGACTGAAGAAGTACATAGAATTCTTCAGTTTCATCATTACTGACTTTAGTGGTTGGTGCGTAAATTTGAATGATAGTGGTATTAACTGGTCTTCCTTGTAGGTGTTATGGATATTATCCTATCACAGACAGCATTGTCAAGACACATGTTGGTATGTTCTTTTTGATGATGATTGTAACACCATTCCTCTTCAATTTTCCATTCCCGGCATAGTAAATCATGTGATTGCAGATTCAAAATGACCAATACCATTCCATTTCAGCTGACTAATGCCAAGGATATTGATGTTTATGCATTCCATTTCTTTTTATTATTATTTCCAATTTTTCTAGTTTCATGCTTCATACATTCCATGTTCCAATTATTAATGAATGTTTACAGCTGCTTCTCTTCATGTTGAGCTATGCCCCATCAGAAAATCTAATTCCTGAAGGCTTTTCTCCATTCACATCATCAGGGTCAACTCTACTTTGAGGAGGTGCTTTTCCACAGTCGTATTTTGAGTGCTTTCCATCCTGAGGGACTCAACTTCCAGCGCTATATCTGACAATATTCTGATGTTCTTCATTATGTTTCAATATTCAGTATTCTGGTGCTGACAGTGTTCCACTGCTATTCATAAGGTTTACAGTGACTAAATATTCTGAAGTATCCATGCCTCCTTCTTCCTAGTCTGTCTTCGTTTGGAAGCTCAACTGAAACCTGTCTACCATGGGTGACCCTACTGATAATTAACAAACATGTGGCACAGCTTCCAGAATTACAGCAACACTCAAGTCACTAAAGTACAACAGACTGACAGACTGTGTGGGCAATAGACACTAATGACTGAAAACCAGAAGAGTTATGGGATGACATCAAAACATTATACAAGATGAAAGCAAAGGGTCAATAAAAACACAGGAAAGAAAGAAAAGACCAACATGGATATCAGAAGAGACTCTGACGCTTGCTATTGATGGTAAAATGGTAAAGTAACTGGAAGAAATGAGGAAGTAAAAGAGCTAAACAGAAAATTTCCAAGGGCAGATTGAGAAGACAAAGACTTAAATGAAATGTGTAAAACCTGGATTTAGAAAACAAAAAAAGAAGAACACTCATTTTCAAGCTAAAAGAACTGGGGGAAAAATTCACACCTTGGGTTGCAATAATGAAGAATTCTATGACAAAAATATTGAACGAATCAAGAGACATGAAAGAATATGGAAGGAACACACAAAATCACTGGAGCTTTGTTTGTTTGTTTTTTTAGCAGTATCTTCAATGCAACTTGGACTTCTGTCTTCAATGCAACTTGGACTTCTTTCTTCCTTCAATGTATTGATTGGTTCTTGATCATATACTATATCTTGAAATGACTGAACATTTGATCAATGTGTTCCTTCCATATACTTTTATGTCTCTTGCATCAGGATTGGAGGAAGGTTCATTAATAATCAGCGATATGCAGATGTGACAATCTTGCTTGTTGGAAGTGAATAGGACTTGAAATACTGACGATGATTAAAAACCACAGCATTCAGTATGGATTGCACCTCAATGTAAAGAAAACAATAATCCTCACAACTGGACCAATAAATGACATCATGATAAATGGAGAAAACAATGAAGCTGTCAAAGAATTCATTTTACTTGGGTCCACAATCAACTTTCATGGAAACAGAAGTCAAGAAATCAAATGATGTATTATATACATTAGGCAATTCTGCATCAAAAGACCTCTTAAAATGTTACAGAGCAATTAGGACTAAGGTCCACCTGACCCAGGTCTCACATAACTGTGAAAGTTGGTCAATGAATAAGGAAGACCGTAGAAGAGCCAATGCATTTAAATTATGGTGTTAGTGAAGAATATTGTTAAGTACTATGGACTGCCAGATGAACAAACAAATCTGTCTTGGAAGAAGTACAGCCAGAATTTTTCTTAGAAGCATGGATGGCAAGCCTTCATCTCTTGTACTCTGGACAGAAAGGGCAGTCCCTGGAAAAGGATATCATACCTGAAAAAGTGCAAGGTCAATGAAGAAGAGGAAGACCCTTCCCCCACCTGCCAAACGAGATGGATTGACACAGTGGCAGCAACAACGGGCTCAAACATAAGGACAATTGTGAGTATGGTGCAGGACAGGACAGTATTTTGTTGTGTTGTGCATTGGATTACTATGAATTGGAACCCATTCAGCAACATCTAACAACAGTTTTGTTATATAGGGTCTGCTTACCAAGCATATTCTTTTATCATTTAGTAGTATGCTTTGATGTTGTTGTTGTTAAGTGCCATTAAGTTGGCTCCAACTCATAGAGACCCTATATAAGGTTTCCAAGGAGCAGCTGGTGAGCTTGAACCACCAACCTTGCAGTTCAAACAGCTTTGCAGTATGACGCATTAACCCACAGCACCACACCAGGATTCCATGCTTTGATAGGTGTCCTCTAATCGATTCCAATTCACAGCAGCCCTATGTACAACAGAATGAAAAACTGTCCTCTATCATCCTCACCAAGAGTCCTCTACCAGGAGTCCTGGTGTAGCGTTGTGGGTTAATGCGCCAGACTGCAAAGCTATTTGAATTGCAAGGTCAGCAGCTCAAGCTCACCAGCTGCTCCTTGGAAACCCTATACAGGGTCGCTATGGGTCAGAACTGACTCAACGGCACTTAACAACAACAACAACCATCCTCACAATTGTTACGTTTGAGACTATTGTTGCTGCCACTGTGTCAAACTAACTTGTTGGAGGGTCTTCCTCCTTTTCGCCCACCCTCCACTTTGCCAAAGATGATGTCCTTCTCCAGGGGCTGGTCCCTCCTAACGACATTTCCTAATTATGAGATTAAATCTCACTATCCTTGATTCTAAGGAGCATTCTGGCTGTGTACTTCTTCCAAAACAAATTTATGTGTTCTTCTGGCAGTCCCTGGTACTTTCTATATTCTTTACCAACACCATAATTCAGACGCACTGATTGTTCTTATTCACTGTAAAACTTTTGCAGGCATATGAGGCAACTGAAAATACCATGGCTTGGGTCAGGTGCACCTTAGTATACAAACTGACAGCTTTGCTCTTTAACACTTCAATGAGGTCTTTTGCAGTAAATTTGCCTCATGGTTATTTCTTGACTGCTGCTTCCATAAGTGTTGATAGTGATTCCAAGCAAAATGAAATCTTTTGACAAGTTCAATCTTTTCTCATTTATCTGCAATGTGCTGTGTAATGCAATCTTTAAGAAATTAAGTGAAATTTTAAAAGTCATTAAATAAGGGTAAGTGGATAGAGCATAATAAATTAGCTATGATTCATTAACAATTATCAGAAGCCTATCCTGTGCCTATCACTGAGATGTTAATTAACCAAATAATTTGGTCATTTATATTTCTCTCATTTAAATGAGACTGTTTTCTCTTACAATCTACTTCCTTAAAAGTAGTTCCTGAGTGGTGCAAACAATTAACATGCTGGGCTGCCACCCAAAAGGTTGGAGGTTCAAACCTTGGAATAAAGACCTTTTATTCTTATTCTGAAAAATCAGTCATTGAAAAACCCTATGGAACACAGTTTTACTTTGCCAATCATGGGGCCACCATGCCTTGGAGTAATAAGAGAGTGATGCCATAATACTAATACTTGACTTTTATTTATTTAATACAAAGAAACTATAGAATTCACCTGTATATCTTCCTGAAGTTCTCTGATTTGTCTTTGCTTGTATCTGTATTTTTCATCCACAGCTCTTTTTTGTTCCTCTAGTTGGATTTTTAGTTCATACTCTTCACCTAAAATTTAAAGAATTTTTTATTTCAAATTTTCAACATACTTTGTGAAATGCAATCTTAAAAGTATTCTATATATTAAACTCAATGCTTCTAACATGTTTTGTTGTGAAAGGTTAATTTCCTTTGACTCCTTGTAGAAAAATAGTGTATCATTAATACAATAGCCATTTCTTGTTTTGTCAACATAGAACAGCAGTATGCTACAGTTTTGTTTTGTTTTTTAATCTGAAATTAATTCCCAAGAAAAGTGATACCACTACAGTTAATAATGAAAATAACACCTTAGAAGGGCACTTCCAAAAAGGGAGCATTTATTTTTTTTGACCAGTCAAATACAGTACATGCTTGTTTTTGATGTATCATAATGTTTCTCTTTTTAAAATAAATAACCATGTATGTATGTGTTCATAAAACATTGTTAATAATGCCTACATACTAGATGGAGTCACTTTTTTAAAAGACTGTTTGTAATTCTTATTGCAGCTGTTCAACACTTGCAAGGTGTTTTCAAGAGCATAGATTTCTTTTTCAGCTTTGTTGATCTTAGCATCCAAACTGTCACCTTCCCTTTGAAGTTCCTCTTTTTCTTGAGCGGCCTATCAAATACAGAACAGAATTGAGTCAAATAAAAATATTTACCATGGGGGGAAATGTCTTTAAGTTAGAAAATAGTTAATTCACAGCAGATCAGTATGCCTTGGGCCTACACATGCTGTTTGTTGTTAAGTGCCTTTGAGTCACTTTCAACACATAGAGACCCCATATAGGGTTTCCTAGGAGCAGCAGGTAAATTTGAACTGCCAACCTTGTGGTTCAAACTGATTTTGCAGTTCAGTGCATTACCCATAGCACCACACCAGCAGGCATTTATTTCCTGTGCTTGATTTAGGGTAGAAAATAAAATCCTTAGAGCATGAAACTATGGCACATAAGATACAAAAGCATGATGGAAATGTAGTAACTTGCCAAAGCTCACATTAAAATTTTTAGCAAAAATTGCTACAACATTTAGGTCCATAGGGGGAAGAAAAATAGAGTCAACAACAGGGAAATTTGAAACTAGTTTAAATCAGAAGAATGTGTGTTTCTGGCCTGAAAGTGGCCTAGGAACACTTCCCCAATTTTTGAAATCTGGAGTGAAAGAAGTGGTGAGCAAGGGAAATCCAGAAAAACAAATGCTTATTATAACCAACCCACTTACTATGTTATTAGAAGTAATATTTCAACTCCTTTAAGGAGCTAAGTGATTTATTAAAATTAGAGAAACACAACTGTAATAAATGTGACTAGAAATATGAAGTCTATAAATTTCAGATGATCACAAATTACTCACTGAGTAGACTTCAGTGACTTTTTAACAGGCTAGCTTATCACTGAATTAGACGCACTAGAGTTGAACACAAACCATTCCAAAGAACTTTTCAGATTATGGGTTCACAGAGATAGCATGCACATATATTTAAGAGTGCCAGAACACCCATTTTTAGTAAAAATCAACTGATAATTTCATTTTTGATCTATTCATGCCCTAGGTGCTATGCATTTAAAACAAGAATACAGTCAATGAGAAGTTTTATTGGTAAAGTTCCAAATCTTAGTGTTTTTATTGGTGTTTCTTTTACTCTGCTTCAAAGTACATGTTATACATATTTTGTAACATATATTTCACATACAAAATGTTACGTTTAGGGAAAAAACTATAAAAAGCCTATATTATTTGTAGATTTACTACTAGTGATCTAGGTAGCATTAAATAATTAATTTTCCCTCTGTGGACTCAGTTTCTTTATTTGCCAAGTGAAGAAGTTGAATTTGTGCATCTTATACAACAAATTCCTAATCTTTAGATCCTTGAAGTTCTAAAATTCTATGTCATTTGTTTCTAAATTAAAGATTATATAGCGTATGCCTTTTACTTTGGATTTAAAAAGCTGACATTTGGATGAAATGTTTATGTTTAACTTTCTGTCCAACCTTTCAAAATATTTTTCAAGTTATTTAACTGAACAATTCCATTGACTTGTAGTCAGAATTGGATTGTTTCTTTATAAGGACAAAGAGAAATGTGAAAATCAGATCTGAAAGATGGCTGTCCTTCATTGATGCTAAAGATTGAACTGTGTCCTCAAAAAGTATGTGTTGTAAATTCTAACAATGAATAGTCCTACTTCAAATAAGAATTTTCTGTTTTCCTGAGAAGTAGATTAGTATCTATCATCATCATCATAGTCATTACAATAATAGCAATAATAATTGCTAACATTTACTGAAAAAGTTCAGTTTGTGGCAGGCACGGTTCTAAGGACTTCCCATGTATTTTCTCATTTAATTCTCATAAGAAAAGTATTGTGATATTATCATCCTCATTTTGCAGGTGAGGAAATTGAATCAGAAGTGGTTAAATAACTTATTCGAGGTCACCACCTAGTCACTGGTTGGCCAGAAGAGATTCAGACAAAGGCAGCCTACCCCAGTGCTTTAGATAATTTATCACAGCCCTAACTGGTAAAGACACTTCATTGAAATTTCAACAATCTTATAAACTGACAAGTTATAGGAAGGGTTTGAGAGCTGGGGCTGATTACCCAAATAGGTTAGGTGGAATTCACGGAGGCAAAATGGCAAGCATACCACATTTCTGTTATGGGAGTATCTGAAGAAAGTCTACAGGAGACTTGAGAGATTAAGTAGATAGAGGTTGAAAATGAGGAGTGGGGGAGATATCCACTGGCAGTGTAAATTGGGAGGTTTCCTTCCCACAACATCTATAGATAGAAAATAAAGTTACAATTGACATAGTGTTTTGAGTAAATTCCAAGACTCCTCTTTAAAGAAAATCACACCAGCTAAGGACGTTTTCTACCTGGGAAAGATAACTCTAATAGAATTTAGGAAGGGAAATGCATTCTGATCATTTATAAAGTTCCCTTTATGGTTACTAGGGAAAGGGAAACATGGAATGGCAGACAAATCTGAAACATGAAAAATAACAGAGCAGATTCTCCTGATCTACCTCCATATGCTATGATGGCAGGAGTGCAGCCCTCTTCATCTCTGGACAGCTGACATACCAGAAGTGTATGGTAACATGAAGCTTCAGGTTTCAGAGACGGTGCACCTCCAGAAGACGAGACCTGGTGCTGCGGTACTTGGAGTGTTTGACTGATACTTAGAGATATACAGCATTGGAAACCCTAGGGAGAAGTTCTAGTCCGTCCTATAGATAATCAATGTTTGAACTGATTTCACGGCAAATTGTTTAGCTTTCTTTTGGTAGCTTCAGATGTGATAGTCCAGGGTGTGGTCATAGGAGTGGGGGGCTATGGTGAAGTAAAGCTGTGAATTTGAGGTATTTATCAGATTGTCATGTGCATGCTGAAGGCAACCAAAGTGATGATGGGTTTGGGTTGAAAAGGCACAAATCCTAAATAAATGTGGGGAAATTATATGACAAAGATGACAAACCAAAAGAGGTGGGAAGGTAGTGCGGAAGTGTCAAAGAGTAGTCAAATAGAATGGTCTGACTCTCAAAAGAAGAAGGGTTTTGGGCCAACTTTAACTATGTAGATTTAACCAATGTTTAGTACCTCCATCTAGCAACTAAATTATGGTCCTTATTAAGTAAAATAGCTGTTAGAGAGTTTTGAGTTAAATTTCACAGCAAAAATAATAAGTGAAAATGATCATTCTGGTTGTTTGAAATCCAGAGGACTACGCTGAATGGGTTACCAAAAGTTACCTAATACTATGAGAACTTTAAATCGATGAGCATTATACCTTTATTACATAATAGGCCTGTGTTTTCTCCTCTTCTCCTTCAGGAGGCAGCATAACTACAGTAAGGATCTCATATCTGTTCTTCAGTTTATCAATTTTACTTAACCGGTCATGAAACTGTGAACTAACATGAAAAGAAAAAGAAAACTTAATCACAAAAATAGCAAATAACATTTTTCAAAGGACTATCATGTGCTCTTATAAAAGATATTTGTATTTGTATTACTTCTGAACCCAAGCAGTTAATTGTATTCTTTTTTTCCCCCTCTTTGACTTTATAATTCGGTATGAAAGGTATGAGATTTTACTCTATCTGAAAGCTAACAAGTTAGTTAGCCTGCTAGTTTCATGGATGCTTGAAGAAGGAACAAGCTACGTGGGTCAAAGAAAAAAGACTTTATTAACTCACAGCACAGCAAGTAACATGAACTTCCTCTTTGTTTTAGTTCCTTGCCCATCAAGTCCTATGGGGACAAGGAGGGGCTCAAGAGGATGCTGCATAGATAATAGCTTTCACCATTGAGCTTAGGTTATACAAATATTTTAACAGAAAACAAGAAAATATGCTTAACTTTGCTCAAGAGGGAGATGTTTCCAGCTTCCATGTTGCTGTTGTTATCATCGAGTTGATACCGACTCAGAGTGACCCTATGCACAGCAGAACAAAACACTGCCTGGTCCTGGGCTAACCTGACTATTGTTGCCACATTTGAGCCCATTGATGCTGCCACTTTGCCAATCCATCTCACTGGGGGTCTTCATCTTTTTCTCTGACCCTTCACCTTACCAAACATGATATCCCTCTCCAGTGACTGGTCCCTCCTGATAATATATTTGAAGTATGACAGACTAAATTTGGCCATCTTGGCCTCCAAGGAGCACTCTGGCTGCACTTCTTCCATCACAGATTTGTTTGTTCTTTTGGCAGCCCATGGTACTTTCAATATTCTCCTCCAACATCATAACTCAAAAGCATCAATTCTTCTACGGTCTTCCTTATTCACTGTCCAGCTTTTGCATGCATATGAGGTTATTGAAAATGCCATGGCTTGGGTTAGGCATACCTTAGTCTTCAAGCTGCCACCTTTACTGTTCAACACTTTAAAAAAGGTCTTGTGCAGCAGATTTGCCTAATGGCTTCCATGACTTTTCAGTATATAAACATCTTTAAAAAGATAGTCCAGAACAGGACAGTTGGTATCTGTCCTTGCAAAGCATACGGACATATGAGAAACCCATGAAGAACTGCCTCCTAACATTCAAATTCTTTAATATGCTGGTTATCTTTTCCCTTTATTTCAGTAAACTGATATTTTGTGAATTACTTTTTGGAAACTATTTTATAGAAATATAACCAGAATATTCCTTAAATGCAAGGATGGTGAGACTTCATTTTATGATCTTTGGACATGCTATCAAGAAGGGTCAATCTAAGATATTAGCAGGAGTGGATCCTGCTCCAATTGCAACCCCCAATTTACCAGGGTTCTGAGCATGTTGTTGGGATTAGAGTAAAAGTTAAAAAACAAAAAATGCACAGAATCATCCCAGGCTGGAATGATCTGAAAAAGACAGTTCTTCCCTGGAATGAAATAAAGGAATCACCTAAAATGCAAGTAAATGCCTCCGAACTCTTTGTCACTGTGGAAGTCCTCACCTTGCTAACTCCCTACTGTGTTCCCAAAAGAATAATCTAACCCAGCACCTACATTAGCCCCCCGCCAGGTAGGGAGAAATCTGTTAGTGAAAAAGTTCTAATTAGCAGAGGAAACCAATACTACTTAGCTATGCAAGCCATCACTGGTTATGAATTATGTATTGTTAAATATTGAAAGAAAGCCAAGGATTGTTACACATTTAAGAAAAGATAACAGCATAAATGAAAAGAACAAAATGAGTAAAGAAAAAAAGATATCCTAGGAGAAACACATAATGCATGGAATAGAAGAGAATTTTCAAAAGTGTTCTAATTAACATTCTTCAGCTTGAGAAAGACTAAGAAGAAAGGCCTAGTGATTTACTTCCAAAAATCAGCAAATGAAACCCTATGGATTAGAATTGTCTAATCCATAACGAGTCATGGGGAGGGCCCAGGTCCGGGCAGCGTTTTGTTCTTTTGCACATTGGGTTGCCATCAGTGTTGACTCCAAGGCCACTAACGACAACAAAAACAAAAGATGAAAGGATACTACATCCAATGCTGTCTGTTGCTGTCAGGTGCCATCGAGTCGGAACCGACTCATAGCGACCCCATGCACAGCAGAATGAAACAATGTCCGATCCTGGGCCAATCTCACTACCGCTGCCACACTTGACGCCATCAATGATGCCACCTGGCCAATCCATCTCATTAGGGGTCTTCCTCTTTTTCTCTGACTCTCCACCTTACCCAGCATGACATCCTTCTCCAGCGACTGTTTCCTCCAGAAAATATGTCCAAAGTATGAGAGACGAAGCTTAGCCATCCTGGCCTCCAAGGAGCACTCTGGCTGTACTTCTTCCAAAACAGATCTATTGGTACTTTTGGCAGTCCATGGCACTTTCAGTATTCTCCTCCAACACCACAACTCAAAGGCATCAATTCTTCTACGATCTTCCTTATTCACTGTCTAGCCTTCGTATCCATATGAGGCTATTAAAAACACCATGGCCTGGGTCAGGCGCACCCTAGTCCTCAAGCTGACATCTCTGCTCTTCAATACTTTAAAAAGTTCCTGTGCAGCAGATTTGCCCAGTGCAATATGTCGTCTGATCTCTTGACTGCTACTTCCGCGAGTGTTGATAGTTGATCCAAGAAGAATGAAGTCCTTGACAACTTCAATCTTTTCTCCATTGTTAAGAATGTTGTTTATTGGTCCAGTGGTGAGGACTTTTGTTTTCTTGACATTGAGATGCAATCCATATCGAAGGCTGTGCTCTTTGATCTTCATAAGTAAATCTAATAACACCCATAAACAAGGACAGGAAACTATGAAGATAGGATCAATGAAAGAACAACAGTTCTTGCAAATAATTTCTTCTTTCCAGTTTAATCAGAAATAAAGAATATAGATAAAAGTAGTGATCTGAAAAGGGAGAAAAACAGGAAAGAGGGAAGTAGACATGAAGGAGTGGATAAATAGAATGAGAATATTTACAACACTGGAATAAAAAGTAAAAAGTGAGAGAAAAAAGTTAAGAAACCTGGAAGACAATCTAGGAGCACCAAGATACACTAAAACAAATGGGAAAAATAGATAGGTGATAAGAAAAAGCAATTAAAAACTATTTCCCTGAGGAAATAACTTGAATAAAATAATTGAAAGAGTTCACCAAAGACTAAGCAAGAAAAATGAATGAAGACTAAACACCCAGACAAGTAAAAGGAAAATTCTGAAATCCAAGGATAAAGAGATTGTCATAAAACCTCCAGAAAGAAAACAAACACAACCCTATAAAGTTACCTGGATCAGACCTCTTATCATCAACAGCACTATAACTGAGAACACAGAGCAATATTTTCAAAGTTCTATTGTAATTCAAATATGGGTCAAGACAAGCATATCTTTAACTGTAACAAGGACTCAAAACTTCAGAAAACACATTTGAGGTGATTTCAGAGGATACTGTAATCAAAAGTCAATGGGAATCCAAGAAAATAGGATGACATTGGAAAGAATATTAAACCAAGCAACAAGACATATAGCTAGGCTGAAATTATTACTCACAATTAGTTGTTCTGCTTAATACAAGTTATAAAAAGGAAGAGACATGATATTTCAAATAGTAAGTAATAATCTGAAACCATAACTAGTAATTTCAACCATACTAGGGAACTTGAAAAAGTTTGTGGAACATTTCATACCTTTTAATTCCACTTTTCCATTAATTGTTCATAAGTTCCCTTCTTAAACATCAAAGATAGGGAAAGAAAAGTAGAAGTCAAAGAGTGCTAAAATTTCATTTTTTAGGAGGGGGAAAATAATATGAAATAATCTTCAGTAGTCACAGAGAAATACGAAGGTCAAGGTTTTTTAAAAATTAAGAATAACCATGCATGACAAAATTTCTTGAAACTTTAAATATAGGCCTAACCATATGATCTAGTCATTGCACTCCTAGATCTAAGAGAAAAGAAAGTACTACGTCCATACAAAAACACCAAAGCTACTTTATTTGTAATATTAAAAAACTGAAAACAACTCAAATATCCATCAACAAATAAATATATACAAAATTTGGAGTGTATGAGTATTTTGAAATACTAGTCAGCAATAAGTTATTATGAAACAGTGCAGCAATTCAAAGCAGGGGTCAACAAACCACCCTGTCCGACATCTGGTTTCGAATTAGTCCACAAGTGAAGAATGACTTTTCCCATTTTTAAATAGCTGGGGAAAACTACAATGAAGACCAGTTAATATCACTAATATTCAAATTATGCACCACTAAAATCAGTGTGGTGCCATAGAATAAGCACTTGACCTCAAGATCAGTTTGAACTGCAAGGTCAGTGGTTCAAACTCACCAGCTGCTCCTCAGTAACCCTACATAGGGTCGCTATGAGTTGGAACTGACTCCATGGCACTTAAGTACAACAAAGTCAATGATGATGAAATTGAAAAATTCTAACAGTGTCTTCAGTGTGAAAATATCAATACATCAAGATGTATTGATAATTACCGGTGATGGCAGACTGGAACAGACCATTAATTGGTCATATGTAAGTTAGGGCTGAAGCTGAAGAAAACTAAAGCAAGTTCACAAGAGCCAAAAGTTGACCTTGAACATAACCCACCTGAATTTAGAGTTCATCTCAAGAACAGATTTGATGCATTTGACACTAATGACCAAAGACCAGAAAAGTAGTAGGATGACATCAAGAACATCATACAGGAAGAAAACAAAAGGTCATTTAAAAGACACAAAGGAAAAGACCTAAATGGATGTCAGAAGAGACTCTGAAACTTGCTCTCCAGCATAGTGCTGCTAAAGCAAATAGAAATAATAAGGAAGAAAACAGTTCACAGGAGCTCTGGTAGCATAGTGTTATAAGTCGGGCTGCTAATTTCATTGTCAGTGGTTCAAAACTACCAGCAGTTCCACAGGAGAAGGATGAGGCTTTCTGCTCCTGTAAAGATTTATAGTCTCGGAAATCCTTTGCAGGGTCACTATGAGTCGGAACCAACTCCAAGGCATGCTACCACCACCACCAAAAGAGTTAACAAAAAATTTCAAAGGGCAGCTTGAGAAGACAAAGTCAATTATTATAATAAAATGCACAAAGACATGGAGTTAGAAAACAAAAAGGGAAGAACACACTCTGCATTTCTCAAGCAGAAAGAACTAAAGAAAAAATTCAGGTCCCTACTTGAAATATTGAGGGATTCTATGGGCAAAATATTGAATGATGCAGAAAATAATAAAAAAAAAAAAAAAAAAAAAAAAGAAGTAATACACAGAATAATTGTACCAAAAAAGAAATGGTCAGTGTTCAACCATTTCAAGAGATAGCATATGATCAAGAGCCAATGGCATTGAAGGAAGAAGTCGAAGGTGCACTGAAGCCATTGATAAAGAACAAGGTCCCAGAAATTGGGGGAATACAAATTGGAATTTTTCAACAAACTGATGCAGATCTGAAGGCACTCAATCATCTTTACTAAGAAATTTGGAAGACAGCTACCTGGCCAACTGATTGAAAGAGATTCATAGTAGTGCCCATCCTAAAGAAAGAATTCAATGTAATGTAGAATTCATCAGACAATATGATCAGTATCATATGGAAGTAAAATCTTTCTAAATATAATTTTTAAATGGCTGCAACAGTACATTGACAGGGAACTGCCATTGATTGGTTCAAGCCAGATTCAGGTGGGGGCATGGAATGAAGGATATCATTCCTGATGTCAGATGGATCTTGGCTGAAAACAAGAAATAGCAGAAAGATGCTTACCTGTGCTTTATTGACTATGCAAGGACTTTCAGCTATGTGGATCATGACAAGGTATAGACAACATTATGGAGAATAAGTATTCTAGAATACTTAATTATACTTATGAGGAATCTGAGACCAAGAAGCAGACACTCAAAATGAACAAAGGGACACTGAATCATTTAAAATCAGGAAATGTGCATTCTTTCACCATATTTATTCAATCTGTATGCTGACCAAATAATCTGGATTGGATAAAGAAGAACATGGCATTAGGATTGGAGGAAGATTCATTAACAACCTGTAATATGTAGATGATACCTAGGGAAAAATATAACTTACCAAAACTGACTCAAGACTATACTTATATTGTCCTGGTGCAGCGCTGTAGAGTAAGCATTGGACTGCTAAAGGCACGTATGGTAATTCAAACCTGCCAGCTGCTCCTTGAAACCCTATGTTGTTGTTAAGTGCTGTCAAGTTGGTTCTGACCCATAGCAACGCTGTATAAGGTTTCCGAGAAGTGGCTATTACTCCAGTTTCCTACGAGTGGCTTGTGGGTTTGAACCACCAACTTTGTGGTTAGCAATCCAATGCTTATCCTACAGCACTACACTAGAATCCAAACAACAACATTGTTGTTGTCAAGTGCCATCAAATCAGTTCAGACTCAGCAACTCTGTATAGTGTTTCCAAGGAATGCCTGGTATGTTTGAACTGCCAACTTTGCTATTCAAACTGATCCTTCATTCCAGTGATTGTCCTACAGCGTCACTCCTCCAATAAATAAATTGAATCTATTTCCCCATGAAAAATTCCTGGGCACCAATTGATTTACTAGTGAAGTCCTTGAAAATTCAAAGATTTAATTCTACTCTTTTACAAACTTATGCAGAAGATAAAAATTTTAAAAATACATGAAACAATGTATGATGGAGATATAACCTGATAATCTGACAAGGATAGTGCAAACACCAAATTTATGGCCAATGAGCAATTCTGACTCATGGGAACTCCATGTGTTTCAGAGAACTGTGCTCTGTAGGATTTTCAGTGACTGTAATTATAGACATAGATCATGAGGCTTTTTTTCTACAATGTCTCTGAGTGTATTCTAACTGCCAACTTTTGGTTAGTAGTCGAGTACTATCAAAGGACAAGGAGAGTAGAAAAAGGAAAATTATGGGTCATGTGATAGGTGAATAGAAGCAAAAATTGTATAACAATATTATTAGCAAAATCCAGAAGGTAATATATCACAGACAAGTTTGGTATATTTGAGGAATACAAAGTTAGTTCAACTTTAGAAAAACCAATACAATAAATCACATTACTAAACTAAAGGAGCTAAATGTAGCTCCATCAATGAATACAGAAAAAAAAATATGGCAAAAGTCAATGTCCATTCCCGCTTAAAGAAAAAGTAAAATCTTAGAAAAAATTAAATCAGCAAAAGTTGATTAATTTTTATGATAATTAATGATTAATTATTATGATTAATATGATAAAAAGGTATCAAAAATAACAACAACAACAAAAAAAAATAGAGGAAACCTCATACTTAATAATAAAACAATGAGCTCTTTCCCATTTTGGTCAGGCACAAAAGAAGAGTACCTACAGTCATTAGTGTAGGATAAGCACTAGACCACAAAGTCAGTTTGATATCACCCTTATAATTTTTTCAAATGTTCTTTGTTAAGTTGCTGTTAAGTGCCATAGAGTCAGTTCCAATTCATAGTGACCCTGTATAGGGTTTCCAAGGAGGAACTGGTAGGTTTGAACTGCCGACCTTATGGTTTGTAGTTCAGTGCTGATCTGACAGTCCCACATCAGGAGTCCTTAGCAGTTCTTTAAATTCTAATAATTACCTTATGTTTTGCCTTTCTTGATCAACATATCTTATCTGTGATGCAAGCATTGCTTTGTGCACCTTAATTTCTTCTGTTCGCTCTTCCATTGCTGTGTATAATTGCTGTTTTCTTTTTTCCAGGGAAAGAACTTCTTCTGCCTTGCTGTGAAGCATTTCTCGAGTACGTTTTACTTCAAGTTTTAAAAAGTTGTCATCTATCATCAAATCCTATAAACACAATACAACTGTCAAATATTTAAATCATTCTTGTTACACCAAAGCCAAAATATTTTGCTCTTTTATTACAATAAAAATCCAACTAAAAAGTGTAACTTTTTACTCCAATGTTCATCACAGCACAATTCATAAGAGCAAAAAGATGAAGATAACTTAAGTACCCATCAATGGAAGAATATATAAACAAACTTTGGTACATACACATAATGGAATACTATACTACACCTTGAAGAATAATGATGAAGCAGCAAAACACCTCATAACATGGATGAACCTTGAGGACATTATGCTGAGTGAAATTAGTCAGTCACAAATGGATAAATATTACATAAGATCATTGTTGTAAAAGCTTAAGGAAAGATTTTCAATCCCAAAGAAAAATTCTTTGTTGGTTACCAGGGGTGGGAGGGAAGGGTCAGTAATTCATGGGCTAGGGGGTAGACACATGATACCTTGGGTGGCAGGGAGGGCAGTATACAAGGAGGGAGAGGGCAATACACAAGAAGGGGGAGAGAAGTAGATAAACAAGGAAGATAGGGGTAGACTTAGGAATGCATGGGTTAAATAGGATGGATGAAAATAAAGATGTATTCATAGCCTTTGAACAACAGGGCTCTGTGATATAGGGATCCAGCCTTAGTCAGAATGGGTAAAGGAAGGGAAATAATGTTAAGGGATTTGACTCTCTTGTGGATATTGGTTTCCCCTGCCTTCTATTTTAAAATAGACATTTAAGTGGGATAGATAGGAATAATGGGAAATATGATTACAGAAAGTTTATAAGCCTGTGTTCAGCCTATAACTAGTTGGATTAGCTAAAAGGAATTAGAACTTGCCTAGGAAATAGGCTTTTGTCAAGCCTTTTGGGAGTATGGAGCCTCAGGTGGAATCCTGAGCCCCACCCAGAACATTCTGAGATGGGCCATTCCCACTTGGAAAGACACTCAGACTAACTGGGAATGGCTAGAGGAATAGAAGATATTTCTTGAAAGGAAGACCAACAGACAAAAAAATCAGACTGTTAGGATAGCAAGCAAGCTGTTTGCCTTGGAGCTATCAAGACAAGAGAAGTCAGCCCATCAGGGTAATCTTCTTTCTATGAATGAAACTCAAAAGGAACACCAACCAGTTTTGTATGCTTACTGGTGACTTGCGAGTGGAAGTGGGGGAAATGCAGCATTGAAGACATAGGCTGAGTTTGACCATGTTCCATAGCCACCTGTTGACCTTGAGATGAGAGAGAGAAGAGGAAGGACTGACTGGTCTGAAGTTTAGGGAAGTGTGAACTCCCGGGTCCATTGACACTAACCTAGCCACAGGAGACTAGAGTTGAGAGTGAAACAGCCAGCTGGTCTGAAGTCGGGGGAAGGCGAGCAAGAACTCCCAAACTTGCAGATACTATTCATTTAACATAGCTTGGATGGCTAGCTGACTAGAACTCAACCAGATGAATATAAAGAAGTTTGATACAGAGACCAAGCATAAATTGCTACAATTTGATGAACTAGATTATGGATGTAGTTTCTCAAAATTCCAACTGAAAGGGAAGGACTGTTCATATTAGGGATTAAGCTTGCCTTCTTGGTAGATTGGGTTGATAAGGACAGGGAGACATATGCTATCAAAAATGGGGGGTTATAAAAGCACAAAGTGGCTTGTTTACAAGTTTTCATGAATGTACTTAGTTTCAGAATGAGGGGATAAGGTAGAATTCCTACTGAATGGTTTCCCTCTTTTCTAGATGGGTCTGGTGAAAAGAGGACGGGGGTAGGATTTTATGATTCAATTGTGTATAATTGTTATCAAGACTAATTGTGATTGTCACAACTATAAATGTAGAGGATGTGTAACTAAAAGTGGGGAGTAGCTAATCCTCCATTCCAGGAACAGAGGACCCTAGGGCCAGAAAGAAGGAAGAACATGAGTGAAACATGGGATCCTAACCCGTAAAGCGATGACAACAAAGACAAGTGGTAGAGGCGATGGCATAGAGATAGAGTAGCAGAGGACATAAAGCCATGGACTGAGAAAGGCTGTGTGCCTGTGGACAGGAAGCTGACTTGAACAGTGTGCCCTTTGGACATTTAAACAAGTATATATTTTCTGTTTTGTAGGTGTAGATCAAAAAAAAAAAAAAAAAAGGAACAGAGGTAAATATTATTGACTGATGGTTCATGGAGGGGATAGTAATCATTGCAATGAAACAAACTATGATTTATTGAATGTAAAACTGATCATCTGTCCTGTAAATTTTCACTCAATTCACAATAAAAACTTGTAAAAAAAAATTTTTTTTTCTAATTTTTCCATTAACCAAGATAGTAACTTAGATTGCTCTGTGTTCATGTCTCTACTTTTACTTTTTTTTTTTTTAGGGACAAGTGTTTATTCCAAGTCAGTTTTTAAAATCATTCAATTTTAAATTCAAGCTCTATTAAAACAAAAAAGGAAGAAATGTTATTCCTAAAATTGAAACTTACAATATCCAGTAAATGAATTAAATCCTGTGAAAAGACACTGTTATATTCTCAACTAAATCTTAGAAAATAATATGCATATACATTATTTTTAAATAACTCAGTAATGAGTAGAGTACTGGCACAAGAATAAACAGATAAATTGACTTTAAGAATAATAAACCAGGAAAAAACACTCCAGCATATAAGATTCTACTCTTGTTGTTGTTGTTGTTAAGAGCAGTGAAGTAAGTTCTGATTCATAGTGACCCTTTATAGGGTTTCCAAGGAGTGGCTGGTGAGTTTGAGCTGATGACCTTGCAGTTCAAAATGACTTTGCTGTCCAGTGCATTATTCCACAGCACTTCATAAATGTAGCTGTCCAGTTGGGGAAAAGATCAATTAGACCCATATGTCTCACATGTACCAAAAATAAATTCTAGATGCATTAAAAATAATGTAAAAGAGTAAATTGATGCAGTTACTAGGAAGAGTAAATATTTGTCTGATGTTAGTCTTACAAATCTCTAAGCATATTAATTATAAACATGGAAAACTAAAGGTTTGATGTTAAAATAAATTTTATGATAAAACCACTAAATGAAAATATAAAGGTAAATGGGAAAATACTGACAATACTTATAATTTATAGTTAACATTTTAACATACAAAGAGTATATGAAAACATTTTAAGAATAGAAACTTCCTTATGGAAAAGTAGGCTGAGACTATAAACTAGAAATACAAATTTTTTTAAATTATAAATGTACCATCAACATGGAAATTGTTTGTAAAATTTCACGAATTAAAGAAATGCAGACTAAAATCATAAGATACTATGTTTGCCAATAAAATAAGATACTGTATGTGCTTATCAAATTGGCAACAACTTTATAAATTAATACATCCAGCCTTGGTGGTAGTTGGTGTTGTTAAGTGTCTTCACATCAGTTCCGACTCATAGCAACACAGCACAGGGTTTTCCAGGCTTTTAAATCTTTGCAGGAGCAGAAAGTCTCATCTTTTCCCCAAGAAGTGGCTGGAGGGTTCAAACTGTGGACCTTGTGGTAGTGAGTAAAACAAAATACTTTTTCATTGCTGGTGGGAGGGTACTTTGCATTAAAAATAGGTTTCAGACACTGGAAATATTTATTTTTGCACCATAATTGTACAGTTAGTTGTATATCCCAAGGAACAAATTAAGCAACTGTCTAAAGAGATATGTGCATTGTAGATGACAGTAATATTTATAATAGCTCAACACTAAAGACATTTCCAACAAATAGGAGCTCATTAAATAAACTAGGGTAACTTTGTGCAATAGGCTGTAGGAAGCCTTTTTTTTTTTTAAGGAATAGCTAATGTTCTAGGGGAAAATGTACAAACAAGATGGCGAATCGGGTGGACGTGTAGCAAAGAGCTCCAACAACAACAACACAGAATACCCGACCAAGCAGGCTCAGGGGATGGTCTCAGAACTCTGAACCACATATAAAGGAATATTTAGAAGGTTGGGAGGTTTACAGCTGGGGGAATTTGTGGCAGAAGCAAGAAACCCACTGCTTTCTAGTTTGGGACACTCAGCTGCTCCAGAAGCTGCCATCTTGGATGAGACCACGCAGGGGAAGGATCAGAGCGGACACAGACGCCTGGCAGAAGCACTGAGATAAAGGTATGGACATTCTTTTCTTTTAGTAGCTGTTCATTGGTCCCATGTTGACTGCACACCTCCATTCTGGTGACTATAGGGGTGCCGGAGCTAGTGGGCACCCCAGCCCCACCCTCAGAGGGTTCTACTATGCATGAACACAGATCTCCTCGAAATTTAAAGAGACAGTTTCCAATTAAAACCAAATGGCCACAGCTAGCCCTGAACTATTTCCAACTAGAAAAAAGGCCTGAATGGGGATTGTGGAGCGGGACAAGCAGACAAAAGAGGAAATAGGCCAAAAACTAAACCCTAAGTTACGTCAAAACGACCAACAGTGGTATCTTGAAATTTCTCAGGAAGAAGA